CTTAGGAGAATTTTGAGCAGAGAATTATATGATTAGATTCAAGATTTATAAGGATCATTCTGGCTACTGTGTAGAGAATAAAGAGGGGTCAGAGTGAAAGAAGAAGTATCAGTTAAAAGACTATTAGATAATCCAGGTGAAAATCAGTGGTGGCTTCTTCGACTGTGGGGTAGTGATGAAGGTGATTGTCTTTAGATTCTGGCTCTATTTTAAAGGCAGATTTAACAGTGTATACTGATGCATTGAATGTAGGTTGAGAAGGAAGAAAGGAGTCAAGGTTGCCTTTAGAGTTTTTTGCTTGAGTAACAAGGAATCTCCTTGAGAAGTTTGCTTTTGTACTTGATATACTTGAAATATCTATTAGCCATTGTGTAGGAATGAGTTACCTTAGCAGGTTTGATTGCTGTCTGCTGAAAGACATGCTTACAAGATTGACCTTTGGCTAGTGTCTGGATTTCAGAGGGTTCCCACCACCCTAACTGATAAGAGTTGGTTTGTACAAACTGTGGTTAAGCCCTTTGAACTGTTCTGGTTATCTATTGTTGCAAAATAAACCACCTCAAAATGTAATGGCATCAAACAACCATTTTATTATGTTCGTGATTTTGTGGGTCAGGGCTTTAGGCAGGATACACAGAATGTTATTTCTCTTCCTCACAATGACTGGGGCCTCAGCAGGTGGCTTACACAGTTAAAGATGGGCACAACAGTTCAAATGGAGTCATATGTCTGAGGTCTTGGTTGTGGCTATTAGTTGAATTTCCTTGTTTCTTTTCTACATGTACTGAGGTTAGAATCTCTAAGATACAACGTTGTTGACATTGGATGTCAGGAACTCTAAATAATAGTCAGTGCTTACAGGGTTATTGTCAGGAGGGATCAGTCCCAGGAAAAAGAAATCATGGTTGGTAAATAGAGAGTAGGGTCTACAAAAAAGAGGAAGACCTTCACCTAAATGGATTGAGACAGTAGCTACAACAATGGGCTTAAACATAGCAAGAATTGTGAGGATGGTGCAGAACCAGGCAGTTTCTCGTTCTGCTATACATAGGATCCCTGAGTCAGAACCATATAGATGGCATCTGACAACAACAACAACATATTTGAGGGACAAGCAGAAGAAACCAAGGTGGTTACAGTTATAACCATCCTCTTTGTCTTCCAGTACCCCGGCATTGACCCTGATCATCATGACCATGCCATCTCCAAACTTAATAGGAGGTAGGGAATGGATGTGGAGACAGACATCAGAGATGGATGAAAGTCAGAATAAAAAGGGAGATCTAGAAAGGGGCAGCAAAGAAAGACAATTGGAAACAGCGAACCCAGGGAGGAAGTAGCAAGACTGCTGTTACCTTGAAGGAATTGCAACTAATGTCACAAAGTAAAATGTATATAAATTGTTGAATAGGAAATTAATTTGCTCTGTAAACTTTCTTCTGAACTACAATAAAAAGTTAGAAAAAATAAAAGGTGAGATATGATGTAATTTGGTTCTTTAAAAATACTGTGTGTACCATCCTATGAGATCACCTACTGAAGTTCCTATTGTTGTGTTTCCTTATATTTGACAAAATGCATGATTTTGGGAAAAAAATATTTTTAAACTGTGTCCGGTTTCAATCTCCCTGATGAAGTTAGACCAAACCAGAATAAATTATTTGAAGAGATTGCCATATAAAAGCTGGAACATAGCCTTTCACTTGCAAGCCTGTGAACATTATTATTGGTTTTATTTACTTTATTTTCTAATGCTTGTGTGAGAAAAAGAGAAGGATGCCAATTAGTCAAGTAGAGAAAAACAGGTACGGATGTGTGTGTGTGTGTGTGTGTGTGTGTAACATTTTGACAACAGTTAAGTCTCATAAGCATTTAACTGCTTCAGATGTTTAATATTTCTTTCCCTTTCTCATTTTTTATATGACAATCAGGCAAATGATCATTGCTTGTGAACATCACTCTGATTTTGGCTGGAGTGGCTATGGTTATGCCGTGGCACTTTTTGTTGTAGTCTTTCTGCAAACCCTGATATCCCAGCAATATCAACGTCTTAACATGCTCACCTCAGCAAAAATTAAGACAGCTGTAATTGGACTGATCTACAAAAAGGTAAAAATATTAAAGAATTTCCTATTTATAAATTAATTTTTTTCCCTGGATGATTCAAAAGTAAAGGGACTAGAAAAATAGGAGAATATATCAGAATGTTCTTCGCCCTATGTGTTTTTCTTTCAAAGAACTTTGACTTAACTAGCTGTACTGATAGTCAGCTAGCATAATATTTTTCTGCAGGACCCTTTCCCTATGGTCCCTACACCTTCCAGTTGACTCAAATCCGTAAATTAAGTGGTGATTTCTACATAATGTTACATCACTTAACTCCTCCTTAGAAAGTGAACAAAACCAAACCAAACCCACAGCCGTGGAGTTGGGTTCGACTCATAGCGACCCTTCTTTGAGTTTCCAAGGCAGTATCACTATGGAAGTAGATTTCCCAACCTTCCTTCTGAGGAGTGGCTGGTGGGTTTAAATCACCAGCCTTCTGGTTAGCAGTCAAATGCCTTAGGCACTACGCCACCAGAGCTCCCTAGAAAGTGAATGGAAGTGTTTTTATGGACATCTATGTTTATACATACTGCACTTTTATTATCCTCCTCTGCTCATTCAATTTCATTTTTTATGGAACAAAGCTATCTCCTTTATGTCTTTAATGCTTCCCTTTCATTCTAAGCACCAAACCAAAACCTAGCTGAACCTTATATGTAGGATAACCCTAAAACTTAATTTACCTTTTCTGATTTTGAAAATGCAGTTTTAAATTCTACCTTTTTTCCATCTAGAACCAGATTGTGACCTTTTGTTGATATTTATGAACAAGGGGTTATCTCTCTCCTCTTTTTATTAATCAGTTATTCAATCAACAGGTATATTTTGAGTTCTTACTCTGAGCTCCCCTATAAATTATGGGCTTATCAAGACTTGCCTATTATATCATCATCATCTAAGATAGTTATGTTTACTCATTTGTATGAAAATCAGATGACTGAATGAATGAATAAATGAATAAATATACCCTGTCTTCAAGAAGTTAGGAGGAATAATTAACATACATAATGAATGTGTGGAACTGAATGCAAATTTTATAAGAGCTCATATGAGCAAGAAAATCACAAGAGTTGTATACACTCAAAGAAAATTTTGCAAAATAAGGAAGCCTTGAAATGGTTTTTGAAACAACAATAGAATTTATATAAGTAAAAGCAATTAATATAATTTGGGCTGAAACTGGGCATGAAGCATTACAGGACTTATCTTAGTTATTTGGTGCTACTATAATAGAAATAACACAGGTGTGTGGTTTTAATAACATGAATTTATTTCCTCACAGTTTAGGAGACTAGAAGTCCGAATTCTAGATGCCAGCTCTAGAAGTCTCTTTCTATATATACATGCCTTTTGGGGAAAGTTTTTTTAGCTTTAGTAGCTTCTATTTCTTGGTTCCTTGGTGATCTTTGCATGGCATTGCATCTATCTATCCCCATATCTGCTTGCTTAATCTGCTGTTTCATATCTCAAGAGAGAGAGATTTAAAACATGCCCCATATGAATAATGCTCCCTCATTAACATAACAAATAACTCGTTCCCAAATGGATTATAACCACAGGTATAGGGGTTAGGATTTATAATATATGATTTTTTGGGGACACAATTCGATCCATAATAGGGCTAAAATGGCATTAAGTGGCTTTACAGATCCTGGAATGATCCAGGACCATTTGAACTGGGAAATGGTAACTGACCTTGCAGTAGGTCCTAGTGCTGTAAAGCACAGTCCAAATACAGAGCCAGAGAGGCTGTCTCAATTCTAAATCATTTTACCAGTTGCCATTAAATTGACTCTGACTCATGGTAACGCCATGGGTGTCAGAATCGAGCTTCTCCATTGGTTTTTCAATGGCTGACTTTTTTGGAATTAGATTGCCAAGCCTTTCTTCTAAGTTGCCTTTGAGTGAACTTGAACCTCCAAAATTCCCATTAGCAACTGAACATTTTAACCATTTGCATCACCTAGAGACTCCAATCCTAATTCTAGAAGCAGTAAGTTTGGAGGGGTCCAAATATGCAGGAAAAATATGAGTCTGGGAAGCAGCTTAAATTCAAACATTCCATAAGGAGCCCTGGTGGTGCAGTGGTTAAGAGCTCAGCTGATAATTGAAGGGTTAACATTTCAAACTCACCAGATGCTCTATGGGAGAAAGATGTGGCAGTATGTTTCAGTGAAGATGTGCAGTTTTGGAAACCCTATGGGACATTTCTGTTGTCTCCTATAGGGTTACTATGAGTCATAATTGACTTGACAGCAAGGGTCAGTGGGTTGTATGTGGTTCATATGGAGCAGAATTTCACTCAATGATTAAAGCACTGAGGTATGGGATTTGGATGGACTTAGAAACATACTTTTGACTGTAGTAGAACATAGAGAAAGCTGTCAGAAATAAAAAGGAAAATCAAGTATTATAGGTGAGCCCATTATAAAGGTAAAGATAACGTAAGAGAGAACAGTAACTACAAGGGTGGAATGCTGTGGTCACTTATTTAACAACACAGGGCACTCAAGGGTCAAAGGGAACAGCCATTAAACTGTCTCAATTGATCCTGTGGTAGGAATTATTACTTAATTCCAAGAGACACCCAACAAGAAGCAGAAGACATTATAACTTGTAGTGTTAGGGTTGACTCACATAAAGGGAAAAAACCTTGAGTGGGTGCTGATAGAAGGAAGGCCTGTCCTTTGAGTCATTTATCCTAAATCTGCCTCTGGGAGAGTCTCACTACAAGGGGCTAACAACAAAACCAAACCCACTGCCATTAAGTCAATTCTGAGTCATAGTGACCCTATGACAGAGTAAATAGGGTTTACTGCTCAATAGGGTTTTCAAGGCTGCAAATATTTACAGAAACAGACTGCCTCTTCTTTCTCACATGGAGCAGCTGGTGGACTTGAACTGCTAATTTTTGTTGTTGTTGTTGTCATTTAGCAGCTGCATGTTTTAACCACTGCATGACCAAAGCTCCTTATGTGAAGCTAAAAGAGGTTGTTAAATTTCTTTTGCTTCTCCTTAGGTTTCAGGGTATGTATTTTTATCTATCCAGAAACCTCCAAGGTCCCAGTGGGCTCTGATGTTTTTGTTAGATGCTGTCCAGTTGGCTCTGACTCATAGCAACCCTATGTACACCAGAACAAAACACTGTTCTGTCCACACTGGGTGCAACCAACGCTAGTCACACCACTATTAAATTGTTCAAAAGCAAAAATTTCAGTCTTTTGACTAAGGTGCAGCTGACCAAAGCCACAGTATTTTCATTCACCTCATATGCATGCAAAAGCTGGGCAGTGAAAAAGAAAGACCTAAGTAAAATGGATTCAAATTGTATTGTTGCTGAAGAATACTAAATATACCATGGACTGCCAACAGAATGAACAAACCTATCTTAAAGGAAGTACAGCCTCATGCTCTTAGAAGAAAAGATGGAACTTTCATCTTGATTACTTTGGAGAAAGACAACATGCTTGGTAAAGTTTCTGTGTTGTTGTTTGGTGCTGTTGAGTTGGCTCTGACTCATAGCGACCCTAGGTACAATAAAACGAAACACTGCCCGGTCCTGTGCCAACCTCACAATTCTTGCTGTACCTGAGCCTGTTGTTGCAGTCACTGTGTCAGTCCATCTCATTGACCCTTATCACTGAGCCTTCATTTTACCAAGCATGATAACCTTCTCCAAGGAATGGTCCCTTCTGATAATGTGACCAAAGTAGGTGCAAGGAAGTCTAGCCATTCTTACTTCAAGGAGCATTCTGGCTACATTTCATTCAAGAAAGATTTGTTCATTCTTCTGCCATTCCATTTTATTTTCAGTATTTTTTGCCAACACTGCAACTCAAACACTTCAACTCTTCAGTCTTCCTTATTCATTGTTCAGCTTTCTTATGCATGTGAAGTGATTGAAATTACCATGGTATGTCTTAGGTGCACCTTAGTCTTCAGTGAGATATCTTTGCCCTTCAGGACTTTGAAGAGGTCTTTTGCAGCAGATTTTCCCAGTTCATTACAATATCTGATTTCTTGACTGCTGCCTCCATGGTATTGATTGTGGAAGCAAGTAATATGAAATCTTTGACAACTTCAATCTTTTCACCATTAATTGTGATACTGCTTATTGATCCAGTTGTGAGGATTTTCGTTTTCTTTATGTTGAGGTGTAATCCATACTACACACTGCAGTCTTTAATCTTCATGAATAAGTGCTTCAAGTCATCTTTACTTTCAGTAAGCAAGATTGTATTGTCTGAATATCGCAGGTTGCTAATGACTCTTCCTCCAATCCTGATGTGACATTCTTCATTGTAGTCCAGTATCTCAGATTATTTGCTCAGCGTACAGACTGAATAAGTATGGTGAAAGGATATAACCCTGACACACTCCCTTCCTGATTTTAAACCATGCAGTATCTCCTTGCTCTGTTTGAACAATGGCCTCCTTCCTGGTCTATGTACAGTTTTCTCAAGAGGACGATTAAGTGTTGAATTCCCATTCTTCTCAATGTTACCCATAATTTGTTATGATCCACACATTCAAATGATTTTGCACAATCAGTAAAACACAAGTAAACATCTTTCTGGTATTCTTTGGTTTCAGTCAAGATCCCTCTGATATCAGCAATGATATTCCTTGTTTCACATCCTCTTCTGAATCCTGCTTGCATTTCTGGAAATTCCCTTTCAATGTACTGCTGCAACCACTTTTGAATTATTTTCACCAAAATTTCACTTACATGTGATATTAATGATACTGTTTGATAATTTCTACATTCTGTTGGATCACCTTTCTTTCAAATGGGTACAACTGTGGATCTTATCCAGCAGTTGGCCAGGTGGCTATCTTCCAGATTTCTTGGCATAAATGAGTAAATGATTCCAGCATGGCATCCATTTTTTGAAACATCTCAGAGGATATTCTTTAAGTTCTTGGAGCCTTGTTTTGCACCAGTTCCTCAGTACAATTTCAACTTCTTCCTTCAATACCATTGGTCCTTGATCATTCGCCAC